AATGCTCCTGAAGATAACCATTGACCCTTGTTACTGTCTGAACGGCGAACAGAGCAGGCACACAAGTTGTCTGGTGAGATCTCTTGCATTCCTGTTTAATTATTTCTTGATCCATATATATTAATCCATGCAAATCCCTTATTTCATTTTTGGGATGCTGTTTAGGTTGCATCTGTGTTCACTAGTACAAGTGCCTGTACAACTCAAAAGTTTACGAAAAGCATCCAGCAGTTAGCAAATTCATCCCAGGAACTCAGGGGTTCCTTGGGTTCTTGGGCTGGGTTTCTGAAGAAGATGATTAATTACTAAGACAGGTGGCCAAAAAGACACCCTGCCCACTGCTATGGATCTTGTCCTTCAGACTGCACCTACAGGAGAGTGCAGGGTTCATATGCAAATTTGTTGCAAATTGGAATATCCAGGAAGCTTGATGCTATTAATGACCTGAGCAACTTCAAGTGGCAAAATGGTTAGTCTGAGCCTGGTAGGAGAAATGTGGAATCCGACATTGTTCAGTGTTTATATCTGGCAAAGAAAATATTTGTGTATATATCCTGTGAACTGGATTAGGATCAGTAATTAAATGAATCTGAAATTGTTAAAAGGGCCTAGAGGTGGCCTGGGTTTGGCTTGCAGGCTGAGGTTCTGGATGCCTGCTGTTCATGTGTAATAGATCCTTTCTGTGGTCAGGAGAGTGCCATCCATGCCTAAGAGGGAGCTATTGGCAGGCCGTGTGAGATCCTGCGGTTTGAAAGGTGACCCTCTTTTAGGGGAGCGCTTCCATGCCCCAGCACGACAAGGACTGAGCATATTTAACAGGTACAAAGGGCTGACTGACTTGTGATGGAATTTCGCAGTTGCGAGCTCGAACTCTGGGTGGGGTACAACCAGCAACAATTTATTGCGGGTTACACTTGTACTGAATAGCCGTGAACTGAATTTGTTCTTTGGATTTGCAGAAATCCACTCCTGTCTCATCCCAGTATCCATGTTGGTCATATAGACGTGTGCTGAACCGAGAAGCTTGCAACTCCCCCACCCTCCCTTAGTATAGCTCATCACTAAAAAAAGTGCTTGAAATTTATTTTTGAGAATATGTTTCTTAGTGGTGAGGATGTTAAATGTTCTTTAAACAATGGCTGAAAGTGACTGCAGTTTTTAGGGTACATGGGAGCCTCACTTGTTGGAGTGAGGTGCATCAAAATTCGTAGGGTGCTTCCAAAATGGATAGAAAGTTGATGCTTAGCTATGTCGACATGCAGCTCAAGATACCCTATTTTTTAGGAGCACACTTATAGGAACATAGGAAGCATTAATACTGGAAGAGCACCCCATCTGGACTCTTGGAGAAACAGCCTAAACTTTATAGAGCTGAATTTATTTATATATTTATTTATTTAAAACATTTTTATGCCGCCCCCATCGCAACGAAGCCTCGGGGCGGCTCACAACAGAAACAAAGTACATAAATAAATAACAATATAACAATAAAAAATTGAATGTTCCTGAAAGCTTGTGCAACATCTCACCCAAATCTTCTGAAGGTTCCTTTGGCTTTTTGGCCAGGGCTTTTTTTTTATTAGATTTTTATTAGATTTACATCCTGCCTTTTTTCTTTTAAAGAACTCAAAGCAGCTTACATCACTCTCCTCCTCCTGCACGAAGTCTTATCCTCACAACAGCCCTGTGAGGTAGGTTGGGCTGACATCCAGGCTTGGCATGGCTGGGCACATGCCAAAGGCCCACGCCAAAGGCCCACACCCTAGTAGGGCTCTACTCACAAATGTCTCTTCTGGAGACGCTTCCTTTTCCTGGTTTTTTTTTTTTTTTTTTTTTTTAGTGATGCTAATAGGTCACAACCTGCACGTCCTCCTGCTCTTCTCTCTGTCCCAGGCAACAGTGGAGCTGAGGAAGAGGAGGGGAGACACCACATTCGCTAGCTTGATGTCAAGCAAGCAAGAGGTAGGTGTGGGGAGAGAACGGAAGAGGAGTGAGAGCAATGACAGGGAGAAGGTCCACTCACTGGGGCAAGAGGCCCCTTGGAGACCCTCAAGGACTTGGAATCCGCGCTGGGAAGCTCCCTTGTACCAGCACAATTATTTTCTTGGCTCTCCACAGTTTCAGGTGGAGCAAAAGTCTTTCCTGCGACCTGCCACCTGATCCAGATGTTTGAGTTTGATTTTTGGCTTGCACAGCAGATGCACTTCATAGTTCTACCAGATGTTTACTGCATAAAAAGGCACTCTTAGCTAAGAACAAGCCATAGACGAGATAACTGGGAATGTAATGTGTTGTGGGGAATGTTTTGCTCACCGTTCATATCTTTGACTCAGCCTTAGACTGGGAGGGTGGACCGCCTGGGGCAATCAGGCACCTACCAGTGCTTGCCAAATGCATGCTAGGTGGTATAAGATTAAAAATGTCAGGTACTGAAAAAGCTGTGAGCCCAATTACAGAGTTTTCAGGTCGACTCAAAGGTTCCTCTCTAACTTGGACACCCAGATTTTATTGCAAAACTCTGATCCGTAATTGTAATCCGGATAATAACCTGGGAGTGGTTGATTCTTCCTGGATGTTCCCAGTTGGTGGAGGAAATGGAGACTTGGATTTGTTTTGCCCGGCCGAGCTTTCTTCCTGCATTTGAACAGCAGGAGGTGAAGCCCATGAGCTGGTGCCAACAGCCAGCTCATGTGGGGGAATCAGCTGCAACCGGGGTCCCCAAGGCCTGGCCCTGGCCCTGGCCCTGGCCCTGGCCCTTGCTCCAAAGAAAATATTTGGAGCGCCAGCCCTGTTGAGCCATTTCCTAGCCTCCCCTTTCCTGTATAGGAAGCGCTTATGTCCTCACAACAAGGTACACGTGTGTGGGAGCAGGGAAAATAGTGCCCCTTTTAATATGTGGCCTTCCATCTGCAGTTTGTAGAAGCACTTGTTTCACTCACACCGTCACAGTGGTCTGGCGGTACATTCTGAGCTGCTGCCGTCCCCACAGCCTTGCCTCCAGAGACGGATGTTTTAAAAGAAAAGGCAGCGTGTGGTAGTGTCAACCCCTATCAACAAGCCCGTTTTATTTGGTTTCATCTCCAGCAGGAGCAGGTCACTGGGAAATGCCTTGGTCACACCCAAGAAGACACCCCAAAATCTTTTCCATGACAGCAAAGGACAAGGCAGGGAAATTTCCTTGCTGTCCTTCAGCTCCTGTGAGGGCTGGAGCTAAACTCAAAGTGAGCAGGGAGGTCTTAGGGGGTGGGCAGATTATCTCAGCTTTCCTGCTTATGAAAAAAGGACCTGGGCCACATCCCTGGAAGCCTTGGCTTTAATGCGCTCATGGAATCATGGGCAGAACAGACTGGATGGTTGTGTGAGTCAACAGCTCTGGGATAAATGCAACTTAGCTTTTTTGTGGAGCTGTTGAGTACCAGCCACCTTTTATAAAAGCAATGCAACTTACAGCTTTATTTTAGATCGGGTAAAACGGGTAGCATTCTAGGATTTTTAGCCTGTTGTTCTAGTCACTCCCTCTCTTCCAACATTTTAAACGTTTTGACTTGCTCTTGGAATGTTATCGTCTGCTGCTGTTTTTGTGTTTTAATATAGAGTTATTTTTATTTCTTGCAACATTGCTTTTGACAGATATTATTTTTATTGTCAGCCACCTTGAGCTGGGGGTGGGGAGGGGGGTAGAAATGTTTTAAAATGAATACATAAGGTGCATGAAAGGTTCTTTCTCTCTCTCTGCCTCAGTGTCCCATTCTGTGAACTGGGGATGTTGGCCTGCCTCCCTTCATGAACACCATTTGTTTTTGGAAAACCTTTAAACAAACAGTTCCCTTATCAAATAACACATCATTCTGTATGCTTTCTAAAAAAGCTTGCAGAAGCCAGCTCAGCTTATAAAAAGAAGCTGAATCCAATGCTACCCAGTACAAAAAAACAAAAGCTTCTTTTTAAGTTTTTAATGACCAACCCATAATGAAAAGAGCTGAATACCATCTGCAACTGTTTAAATCAATGATTAACAGCAGCTCTTTTTGACTATTTGGTACTATGGAAAAATGCAATAGGGATCTGAGCCAGGGGTGGAAGGCTAGGGAACTAGCTGGGAAGAGACTTGCTTTTAAAAGAACAGTGCGATATTATTTTATTCTTAATTCTCTCCTCCCTCCTACTGGAGAGGAAGAGAGTGTTTAGAAATTTCATGTGGATAAGGCTTTATTTTCATTTCCCCCATTTGCCCACCTCCAAGTGATAAGAAGATTAATTCTGCCCAAGAATGGTGCTCACTTTATTTCCTCATTAAATACCTGCTGGTGGTGTGCTGTGAATGGGGGGGGGTCCTTTTTCTAGAGGTGGGCATGGAGTGCCCTCCCTTTTCACTAGCGAAAACTATACACTAGCTAGGGGACTTAACACCATGCTGCAAAACAACAACAAAAACACTCTTGCCAAATGCACCAGCAGCGCTTTCCCCACATGCCCTGAAACAGTCCTTGCCATCAGATCGAGCAGTTAAAATTAATTGAACCTTCATTCCCCAACCTCCTTTTAAAAGCTTCCATGCCCTCAATCAAAGTCAACCTCATGTATTTTGCAAATATTCGTCAGAGTGCATGACTACGGGAGTGCCGCCCGAGCATCTGACGCCTGCATTTTGCACCTGAGAAGTGCGATGCTTCTAATTATCTAGAAGCCCCCCCCACTTTCCTAGTTCTCTCTCCCCCCCCCCCCCCCCCCCACAGTTTGCTTCCACTCACAAATTCACTTCCCACACCAGAAACACCAAGACTTCTCCGGAGACCAGTGCTCACGACAATTGCGTCACTTGTGAAAACACAGTTTCCATCTCTTTGCTAGGTACCTTGCCGACATTTCTTCCAGAACTTGTGTTACATTGAAGAGACAGCGAGTTCTCTCTCTCTCTCCTCCCTCCTTCCCTCAACAGGAGCGACCGAAGGGATCGCACAACCAAGCCCCATCATCCCAAGCTGTAAGGTCCTTCTTACCTCGGACTGGGGAAGAGTCACTTGAAAGGCGTCTGTCTCTCCGCTTCCACTCGGACGGATGCGAGGCAGCCTGTCCCACCGTGGCTTATGAATGGGAGGACGGATCAGGTCTGGCTGTTACTGAGCACTGGGGAATGTGCTGGTGGTGGGGCGGGGGGGGGGGACAGGATGGCAGCTGACAGCTGATCACCAGGCCCCGCCTCTTTCCTCCATCCCACCTCCCTGCGTGTCTCTGTGTCTGACGGTGTGCAGGGTTACTAAGAGACGGCTGGCTGTTCGGGCTTAAAGGCAGGCAGCCCCAACCTATAATGAGCAGGATGAGTCAGAGCTGCTTTGGCTGAGTATGGGGTTTTTCATTCTTTTTTTTAATTACTGTTATTATTAAAGGCATCGGCATGTGAAATAAGGAAGGCAAGCTCTTTAAATCTCCCTGGGGGTCCCTTAAAAAGATTCAGCAGCACCAGCACTGGTTTGGCTTGCACCCTGGCGTCCATTTGCAACACCTGGGCCAGCTCCGCCTTGCCAGGTCAAAGCCGTGGCAGCAAATTCTGCTGAGCCTCTGTCTTGCAACAAGCGGCCTTCTGTGGCCCTGCGACAATGCCTGGCCTTCTTTCCCAGGACTTCTGCTTTCTCGTGAATTTATTTATTTTAAACATTTCTGTCCAGTCCTTCCCGATAAAAAGTCTCAGGACAGCTTACAATAATTAAATGACTTCTGTGCATTATATGGAGGGTGCTTCAAGATGAAGGGCTCATAGCGCTGGTCATCAGAAAGCACACTCATTCCTTTATTATTTCTATATCTCCCACCTTTTAAGGAAGTCAAGACTGCTAACATATTCATTCTCCTCTCAGTCTTCTGCTTATGGTAACCCTGTGAGGTAGGTGAGCCACAGAGTTAGGGACCAGCCTAAAATCACCCAGTGAGCTTCATGGCTGAGTGGGGACTGGGACCTGGTGCTCCTGAATCCCAGGTCATTGCTTTGATCACTAGGCTGCACTGGCTCTCATGCAGATAATCTCCCTTCGCACTTCTAAGAGATTACCTTCAGAAGGAGGAAAGACAGACGACACAATGGGGAAACACAGGAGGTCTACAAGTTCAAGATGATACTGTGCTTTTCTGTGCAAGGCATTTATTATGTGCTTGCCATTCCCTACTTGCAGTTGTTCACAAGTTCTTTAGGTGATGTTGTGATGTGCCGGGTCCATTTTCGTGTTTAAGTCACCCTTTCGGCAGGTATTTTTGTTTTTAATTTTTTAGAGCAGGGTAAGTGCATCATTTATTTGTAAAAGCGAACCAAGCCACGTTTTTCACTTGTCTGTTTGTGCTATTCCACTTCATTACACTGCCATCTGGAAATTGGGCAGCACAAAAGGAAACTGTAATGCTTGGATCTTGATTCTGCAATGATCCTGAAGGCTTGAATTCCTGGTTGATTGATACCTGTAGGATAATTCATTAACTGGACTCAGCTAAAACTGGGCAAGCAACAATACCCCAAATCTGTACAAGCGAGACTTACAAAAAGCGTTGTAGTGTGGAGAGCTCATTACCATTCAGGATGCCAGCCAGTCAGCTTGCCCTTTCCTACAATACTCCGTTCCATTCCCCTGCTCCTCCAGTTTTCAGCCTGAACCTCAACAGTCAGTCAGCCAGCATTCGCTCTTCACTGAGCACACTCAGCCCTCCTTTTGAAGTCCTATTACTTTATAGAACAAGAGGCAAAACAAGAGCAGAGAGAACAAGGAAATGAAGAAAGAAAGGTTTAATTCAAGAAAGGATGCGACCACACTGGCACCCCTTGGCACAGAAGGTGCTGAAGACCTGTGGTGACAGCACGCAGAGGAGATGGGGCTCTGGGGTTGAACAGTTGCACAGGAAAAAGGGTTTTGGTTGGCGCTGCGGAGATGAGAACAGGTGCACCTGCTTCTTATCCTCACTGTACCCCCAGATTGGCTTTCTGGAGGTACAGTAGAGGTATATGGTAGAGGTATATGGTACAGTAGAGGTAGAGGTATATGGTGTGTCTCTCCAAGGAAAGGATCGTTGTCAGAAACTAGCAAGGATGATCTTAGTTTTCATTCACCCTGGAAAAACTGGATAATGACTGGCTTTTCCTGTGCATGGGCAAAGTCCTCCCTGTTTCAGCTTGAATGCTTGTTTATTAGGAGGTATGCAGTGCCACTGCTGAATAGATGGGAATGAGCAGAAGTTGGAAGGGAAAATACCGCTCGTTGGCACATCAGGAAGCTGTTGCTTCAGCAGTCGGACTAGTCAGTGGAAGCCACAGAGAGATCTCCGAGAATTTTTATCATTCCAGAAATAGTAGGCAGTGCTAACCTATTGAAAACAGGACCATTTCTAGCTCTTTGAGTTTAATCATATGTGCTGTGTCTGGTTTTCCTCCGGTACGCCATATGATTCTACCCACATGCAAATAATTTTAAATACAGAAATGAAATGAAAATGGTTAGCAGGTAAGAGGATCTAGGCTGAAGAAAATGACTTCTTTCTTAAGAACTCCCACCTCTGACGTTTGATCTTGTGCACATCTGGTAAGAACTTGACGAGCATTGTGGTTTGGCTCGCTCAGGCAAGTGGTCTGGGGCTAGTGATACCGTTTTGTGGTGCACTCGTGTGGGTCGAACTTGTGCAGGGGGGAATTGGACGAATTCATATGGCCCAGCCAGAGACTCTTTGCGAAAGGGTTTGTTTTCCCTGCCCCATGTACAACCATCAAGCAAAGTAGAGGGATCTGGGGGTGTTACTAACACTGTCAGAGTGGGAAAGAGAAGTGTGTGGATTTGGATGTCGGTCAGAGCTTGCTCACTGAGTGTGTATCTTGGGTCCTTGAGCATCTCACACCAGGCCTGCTTCCAGTGATGATGCCATGTTTGGCATTTATTCTGCAGTGCACTTTTGAGCATTAAGTTACGGAAAGAATTTCTGAACTCGTGTGAGGGAATTTTGGAAATCCTATGACGCAGACCTGAGTTGTTATCTCCACGTGGCTGCTGGTGGAGCCGAGGAATTAACTGCTTGCCTGGGGCCGTTGAGTGAAGTCAGGGCCCGGGCGAAACTTGAGGCCAAGGCTTGCTGGCTCCTTAGCTGCTGCAGTAGCTCAAGCCGCACTCTGCAATGTAGACACATCAGACTGCAAGCATGTGCGCATTGCACAGCACCTGCATTGTTGCAGAACACCTGGTACGATATTTCTGGAGGCTCGTGAGCCAGGCAGCCAGCATGTCCCTCAGTGCAACCAGTTTCCTTTCGAGGTGTTATAATTGGCAGCCGACTCATTCGCTTACTCAGGCTCCCATCTCACGCCTCCACATGTGCAGGAATGCAGCTGGCATAGCTGGAGCGTGCATTTCCGCCTTCCCTCCCCTGTCTCCCTGGTTACCAAAACAGTTTACTCCCCCCCCCCCATTCCCATTGGCTGGAAAGTGGGGCTATGGGAATGCACAGGGCCCAGCCCTAGCTAGCTTAGACGGCAGCTGCCTGCAGTCTTTGGATCCAGGGCAAGGAGATGAGGTGCTGCTCAAAATGCATGAATTATGGATAGATGGCAGTCCTGGATTCCAGAAAGATGTATCCCTTGCTCTCTGTATCATCATCTGTGCATTAGCATGGCTAATGAAAGCAGGGCACCGAAAAGAATCTGGAAGCTGGGAAAAAAATGCTTTGTTTTTTTCTGTTTTGCTCCTCCCTCCCTCCCTCCCTCCCTCCCTCCCTCTCTCTCTCTCTCTCCCCCCCCTCCCACCCCGCCCCCTTTTCTGTGCAGTTTATGTGTAAACATACATAAATGCACTGTATCAAAAGTCCTGTTACAGAAGGGAAAGCACTGAATTTTTGGTATTAGCATCCCTTTAGGTAAGAAATACAATCTCATGGTTTTAAAAACAAAACATTCAGTGCTTTATTGTGTTTGCCTTTTAATGCCAGTGTCCTGACAATGCAGAATAGAGTTGGTCCTTGTGACTCATCAAAAAGGTGGAAATGGGTTGCCAAAATACAGAATGCAAGTGAACACAGATTTGCATTAAAAAAAAACTGCATGTGTGAAGTTGTATATAGTGATGGAAATTTAGAAGTTGTTGTTGTTGTTAGCATTATTATTAAAACGGAAATAGGTTACCTCTCACCATAGCATAGAAGACTGTGAACACATGACCTTGTCCGTATCTGGATAATGACTGCGGATGGACAACAGTTTCCAGAGTGCTTTATCTTTAATGGGAATGGGAGAAAACAGCCATTTAAATAGGGCATATCAGCAGCCTATATGTAATGTTTTCTTGTGAGCTGCCCCGAGGCTTTGTTGTGATGGGGGCGGCATAGAAATGTTTTAAACAAACAAACAAGCCCTTGAATTGGTGATGCCAGGGCCTCAGCCCGGGACTTCCAACAATAAGAGCTTGGGGCTCTACCATTGGACAAGATTTCCTTCTACCTTGTCATGAAGCAGGAGGCGGCAGGTGTGGTCTTTGGGCAGAGGCTTCAGGAGAGTCGAAACAGAGCTCTCCCACTGCTCTCCAGGATGGTGGAAGCAGCCAGTACTGAAATAAGATCCGATTGCCAGAAGTACGATTAGCTGTTCCTTGCCTTGAGCAGTAAGAAGTAAAGTAAAACCTAGTGAAGTGAGTATATCCTAGTGGCAACGCAAAGAGTTAAAACACAGTCACAGCGACAGTTTTGAAACAACAGCAACTGAACCACAGAAATACCTGGGGAGATAAGGCAGGCTTCACCTGGTGCTGCAGATAGCATGGGGCAGGTGTCCGGCGAGCCCCTCCCCACCTCCACCACAGACCTCCCTTGTCTCCAAAGTGCTTTGCATGAAATGTGTTGCTGCGGTCTTGCCCGAAACAAGAATACTGCAAGGCAGGCCTGTTTTACGTGCTTAAGGCCAGCTCGTGAGTTCGAGGCGATTTGGGGGTTTTTTAAACCAGGACTCCTTTGCTGACAAGTTCACTCTTCAGCCAGATCGCTTGGTTGTGGTGTCATAAACCCTTCCTAATCTCAGAACTGCGCTTGTAACTGTGATTGAGCTGGTCTCACTTTTTTGAGATCAACGCAGATGGCAAAGAACTGGCTTGACAGGCTGGCACATGTGCTCTCATGCATT